AGCTTTATTCTGACCTGTCATAAAGTCCTTGGCTGGAGAAAATAAATAAAAATGTATTCATAAAATTAACGCACAGGTGACGATAAATTACTGTAAGTCACGCGGGATAATTGGGACATTCAGGCGCGTAAAAAGGTGCTATAATTAGAAACCGCAGGCGCGCAGCAGAGAAGCAGCTTTTGTGTAAGTTGAAGGAAACTCTGTTCGCTTTTGAGGTAACTCGCCAAGGCTGCGGGGTTATTCGCAGGTCGCTCTGAATCCACAGAGCTCCATTATGCAGCTTTTACCAGGTCTGCACGAGCTCAATACTCCTCACTTTTAAGGATGATTTCGAGCTCGTATTTAATCCAGAAGCCTTGTTTACACCTCATCACTCTGTCTGTTTTGACAAAGCCAAGTGAATAATTTGTTTTTGAAAAAAATCAATGAGACACGCAGGATTAAACGGCCGCACGCGGGGCTGATTTCTCCTTATGGGAGACGAGAATTGGACCTCCAACCTTTCACTCGTTTGGCCACAGAGCAGACAGCATTTGCGTCTATGGACTCCTAATTAGAAACAGATGGCGCGCGCAGCTCGGGTCTTGTACACTAACAGAGAGCTGAAACATTTTCCACACTGAGCTGAGCTGAGCTGGACACTGCAGACACACACACAGGTGCACACAGTCTGCACGAGGCTGACACCGGCACCTCAGGAGGAGGTATCTCCTGAAGGGAAAGTTGGCACAACTGGACAGAGTTTTACGCATAGCTGGCACCAGTAAAAACTAGATTGGAGAAAATCGGCATTGCTTTATGGATCTCTAAAAAAAAAAGGAAAGCATTTAAGGGTCAGTGCAAACATTGAAACCCAGTGTATCTTTTAAACTCATATCGAATAAATTACATATCTTGCAGATTGTAAGATTAATGTCTCAATATTGTGAATGAAAGTGTTTTCTCGTCTCATTATTGTCAGACCTGAATGTCAAATGAAGTTTTACATTTGATTTAATTTTCTGAAAGTATCCCAATTAATCCTATTTTTCTCTCTTTGAATCAACTTTTTTTTGCTTTGAAATTAAACATAAAGTGACATTTCAGTCATACTATCTTGGAATCAGGCCTGGGCGATTTGGCCAAAAAGATGATCACGATATACTTTGTCATATTGTCCGATCTCGATTATTATCCCGATTTTTTAAAAACTGCCAGTTTTAAAGCATCTGTACTTAAAACTAAAAAAATAAATAGATAAATACTAAATAAGATGTTAAATAACTTTTCTTCTCAACAATAACATCTTTGGAGGATGACTCAAAGTCATGGCTGATATCTATTTTACTGCCCTCAGCTCCATGTTCGGTTTCTCTGTTAACTTGTCCAGCAAATTACAGAAGTGAGCAGGAAAAGCTCGACCCTGATTGGCTGTTGTGATGCACATTTTCGCCATGATTGATTGAGTAAATAAGCTCACAGCTGATCACCGTGATCTAACTGAAATTTATCACGATCTTATAATCGCCCAGTCCTACTTGGAATAATAATTATGTCACGTGAAACCCAGTTGTTTATATGTGTGCGCATTTGTCTTGAACTTTGACCTGACCTCTGAACACAAAAGCTACATTCTCGCCTACCAGCACTTAGGTTCGTCAAATCATTACCATAATATATGACAGGCTAAATATTTGTTTAGAGTACTTTTTCACAGTGAGTCGCCTGTAACATAAACGTGTCCATTCTGAAACATTTTTCATATTCCAACAGGCGATGCTGGTACATAGAAAACACTAAAATTTGCAGATCTGCTTCTTTTACGCACAATTGGTGAGAAAATCAAAACAGAATCGCAGGTTTTATGTTAAATATGAAACGCTGAGTCCACATAGACACTTTTGTCTTTGCTATTTCACCCGTGGCAAAGAGGGAAGCTGTGCGTATTCAGGAATGTGGCGGAACGTTTCACACAGGCTGTAACAGGGGTCCCCAAAAGTGATCGTGTTGAGGAGCCCCAGACAGACAGACAGACACTTGGTCCCTGTTGGATCAATGAGATCTAACCGTGAGCTGAATCTGATCACGGCTGTTGGAAATCTGTTCAACTGCCTTCAGTGCTCGGTGTAGGGATACCCTTGGAAAAATAGTTCCCTTGTTTTGTTTTGTTGTTTTTTCTCCACGAACCCTTCGAAAGGGAAATGAAAGTGAAATTAAATTTGTACTTATTCTACTGTGGGACCCCTCGAGACAGGATGACAGCCCCTGGCCCCCGAATAGAAGACTATAGGCTTAATGCTCATTACATATCAGTTCATTTTCAGTGCCAAAAGCATAAGATATAATCTTCCATTTCATCATTTACAGCATCTTTCTGGGGATTCAAACTCTAGTTCTATCATTTCAGCGCACTACAGTCAAGCACATGAAGCTAAGCTCTGATCTTGTCTGTGTGTGTGAGAGAGAGAGCGCGCGTTGTCTGCTTGTGTGTGCTATGTCCTGTTACATTGTTGAGGGTGCTCTAGCTGCCGACATCCTCCTCATTGACCTCCTTCTCCTCTTTGCCTTTCCCGTCTCGTGAAAAACGATTCCACGTCTCTGATTGAATTTTATTCCTTCCTGACCTGCTCGTTTCTGTGAGGGCGCCATCAATCTTTAGACTAACACGACGTTTGTTTATTAGGCCCCAACTTGGGAAAGTATCTAATGACTTTTAGGAGCAATCGGCGCAATCGGGGAGTGTGCAGACGCAGAATTTCACTGTGGTTATGCTGAACAATTGAATATTTCTGGTTTGTTTTTGTTGTTTGTTCTTTGGTCACGGAAATAAAACATGCACACGCAGTTTAAGCTCCTCACTTGAGTTCTGTGAGCTCTAAACCACTGTCCTTCTAGCTGGTCTACATTTCTGAAGCTGTCTGCAAGAAAATGAAAAATAAACTCAGATGAACCGACCTGATTTTACGAAATTAGCACTTGATATATTGAAGTTTTACGACAGGCTTTAGAGAGTTATTCTGCTGTGGGTAAGTCATGGCACAGTGTGTGGGATTCGCTGGCCTCCACTCTTCTTCTGCGAGAAAAAAAGTGTGGAACCAAACAGTAGGTGACCAAAACCTTAAAAAAAGAGCTCACCTTCAAATGTAAAGAAGAAAAAACTATGTTGCAGTAATTTATGAGTAATGTTTGTTTTGCTGATGATTTAATTTCAGTTCTATTCAAAAAAATCCACGACAGATCTAACATATATTTAAATAATCGCCTAGTGTGCCCCTCACAGCACAGAAACTATGTCTATACCCAGAGAAGGGTGAAAACGACAATATGCATGACAAACCAATTATTATTATTATTATTATTATTATTATTATTATTATTATTATTTATTTTGTTTTTACGCACAATAGTCATGCGTAATTTTACGCACCCGTCATTTATAATTACATTTATAAATATACATATTTAAGCAAAGAGTAATGTCAATATTTTCTAAATTTTGTATATCTTGAGCAAGTAAAAAATAAAAAAATGTGTCTCTTGTTAAAATTCCAGACCCTGATAATTAAGATACAATAGAAACAATGCACTGTTAAAATCCTGATTGTCTGGAAAACAGATGTGCTGTTTTATTTCACGATTTTCACCATGTATAAGGTGATACTAAAAAGAACTGCCTCCTTTTAAAATGATTTATAAATCTCCATTGAACGTGATTGAGAAGAATGATTCTGATTCATTTACTCAAAGAAAACAAAGCCAAGCTGCCTTCAAAGTGAATGCTTCAAACTCGGATTACCATCAATTATCAATTTGACGTTTCCACCACGAGACGCAGATTTAATGTCCTCGCTCTGCTGCAAATAAACATCCACAGACTAACGTGACACACACTCACAACACACACACAACAATTAAAACGTGACGCTCGGATTCGTCCCCGCACACGTCAGCGTCCTGTCAGACTGGTGAGAATACAAACATCACAAGTAAAGTGACAACAACACTATCTTTGGCATGTGTGGTATGATATTAAGTAAGCAGAGGTATGCGCCAGTAAACACACAACGCGCTCCAAAACAAAGTAGAGCTGCTGTGCGCAGGCTGGCTCCAGGTCTGCAGGCCTCAGGTCAACATCAGAGCTGCTATAAGTCCTCCAATATCTCTACCACGACTGTAAAAATACACGCAGAGAATAAAATATCAGTGACAAAAAAGATCTGCGTAAAGAACTCCATCAGTACGCGTTTTCTGTTTGGACGTGCGCACGCAACTGTTTATAATTTAGTGACTTGAGATTTTTTCACGTTTCCTAAAAAGCATGAGGGTGAGATCAGGGGTCACATATTGGGCAACTTCGCGAGAGGATATATTTTTCTGCGTAAAAATATTCACAGCAGGTTTAACTTTTTACGCACACTGTTTAAAAGAGAGCAAGAATCTCAGAGGGTCACTTCTTCAGAAATAGAGATTGATTTCAAATTTCACTCGCCTGGATTTAATGTCTGCAAGAAACGAGACGTAACTTTAAACTCACATAAAATGGCAATTTATTAAACAAACAAAGAAATCCTTCAAAATACTTTTCAACAAAGAGAGAATCTTTGAAATAGTACGGCGATATACACGTTCCTTTTTTTCCTTACTTTTATAATGGAACAGAAATTTTTGGACACTTAAGGCAATTCAATTTTTAGAAACACTTTTTTCGGTGTTTGGTCCATAATATCCGGCTACATTTTTTTAGAAATAAATTACTATATGCAATTTACACGTCCATGAAAACTGACAAATCTTAAACATATCATATAATAAAAGGCACAAAGCGAAGAGAGAGACTTACGTGTTATTTTTGCAGTAACACTGTTCTTAGAAAAAACCAACATCAAGTCTTTTCTGAGTGTTTTCTGTCTCATGTTAAGTCCATGTGGGGAAAATATCGGGCTGTACTGAGAGAGTTCAAACACCGTGAGGAAAATAGTGAGCCTGTTTTTGTTGTTGTTGTTGTTGTTTTTGTGTGTTGGTCAGAACTTGCTGCAGTCGTATACGAAAGCTCCCGAAGTGCGATAGATGGATTGGCTCGGTGGGAATGACATCTGACAGCTGTTATTCCCATTCACCGGCGAGTTATTCAAGCCAATTCTCTGGGATTCAAACATCTCTCGGACTGAGTGGAAGTTCTGCTGCTGTGCCGTGGGGTACGTCGCGCCCAGATGGCCCAGGTCTCCGGCCTGGTTGAGGTACCATGAGGTCAGCCTCCCTTGGTGGGTATGGTGGCCCTCCTGCGCGGAGTTCAGGTTCGCGTGGCTCAGGGAGGACGAGGTGGTGGTAACGGAGTAATCTGGCAACGTTTCGTCCACGGTGGTGCTCGGCGCCAGGTGGCTCGACCTGTCCCCGGCGTACAAGCTCATGGCTTGCATGTTACAATGATAGGTGGCGTTGGAGGTAGTGGAGATGGAGTTTTGGGTACAGGGCGAACTATACACAGATGTCTGACTTGGAGAATAGTTTAAGGACAAAGATGGTGTTATACCTGTCCTGCTGGAGGCGCTGAGGCCAGAGGGGAGCTCTGTGGCCCCTTGTGGAGACCCCCGAAGGGAGGTCATGATGTTGTCCACGCTGAAGCCCTGCGTGGAGGCCTGGCCGTGGTGCTGGTGGTGCTCGGAGCTGTCCAAGCCGATGGATCTGTTTGAGGGGATGCTGTGAGGACTCCCGCTGGACATGCTGCTGCTGCTGTCCGGGCTCTCGATTTTGGGCACGGTGCTCAGTGAGGGCGAGTCGGCCTGCGGAGGCGTGACTGTCCCGTTCTCAGTCTTAATATCCTGGATCCTCACAGGCTTGGAGCTCTGCACCGGCTGCTCCTGCTCCCGGCCTCCTTGCTGCCTCTGCGGTGGGACGTCCTTCTGCAGCCGCTCCTCTTTCTCCTTCAGCGCGTCCTTCTTCTTGAACCGCCGCCGTCTCCTCAGGAAGCTCCCGTTTTCGAACATATTGTAAGAGTCCGGGTCTAGGGTCCAGTAGCTGCCTTTACCGGGTTTTTTATCATCACGAGGTACTTTGACAAAACACTCATTGAGGGACAGATTGTGCCTGATGCTGTTCTGCCAGCCCTGCTTGTTGTCTCGATAGAAGGGAAACCTCTCCATGATGAACTGGTAAATCCCATTCAGGGTCACCTTCTTGTCAGGCGAGTTTTGGATAGCCATGGTGATGAGCGCGATGTAGCTATAGGGGGGTTTCACCATATCCTTTGGCTGAGGTTGAGGGGTGTACGGACCGTATGCGCGCGCCATGCTGGCAGGGTATTGGTCATGGGCCGCATGAGAGTACATGTTCATAGGTGCTGGCATCCCGGTGTATCCCCCACCGGCTGCGGCCCTGTAGTAGCTCGGGTCACTGCTGATGTACGGCACGACGCCCAGAGAGTTGGGGCTGGAGACAGAGTAGCGAGCCTGCATGTCTGCAGAGAGAAAAGCTCCAAATTACGCACACGGAGAGTTCCACTTCTCCCTCCTCTGACTTGTGAAGGCGCACAAATCACAGCTCCTCCACTGTGCTCTCAGAAAGGAAAAAGAGGAAAAGTCTCAACAACAGTGCAACGTGCCGGATCTCAGCTGAGTTTTAAGCCGTCCCCATGTCTGTGTCTCTATGAAACGCACATTGAAAAAGTTCTGAACTTTGGATATCCGTCACCACACACGGGACTTGCGCAGTTAAATTCTTTCCTCTTTTTTGCTGCGGGTCGAGCTCCTCCCCAAAAGTGCGCGAGCTGTCCAATGGGAAGTCAGGCAGTGCAGAGGGAGCGGAGAGCTCCTGGCCACACTCAGGGCTTCTTTTTTTTTCTTTTAAGTAAAACGAGAGAGAGAAAGAGAGAGAGAGAGGAGGTGTCGGTAACTCCCAGCCCACTCTAGCCAAGACTTCAGACGTGACAGAGCAGCTCACACATGTGCGCAATCAGAGCGTGGAGGGCAAATTCCCGCACACCTTGTTACAATCAGACATCCTCCACTAGACCTGTTGATGTCTCAATAAAATACAAACTGATGAGCTGTCTGTCAAATCAAGAGATGAAATGTGTAAATACGGATAATAACACACACAATGTCGTAAAGTACATCTGTAATGGCTTTAAAGGCAAAAATGTGCAGGAAACATGTTAATTTATTACATTTTTCCTTCATTATGAACCTGATTGACAACTTAAGACTTTGACTTGTGGTTCTATTTTCATATCTATTCAATGCTGAACAAATGGCTCCGTTTACGCACGATCTACGCGCATGTAATGGTGCATTTTCATGAGCTAAAAGACTCAAAAGCAGCAGCAGATCCCCCCTGACATCAAAGCCTCGCATCTTTAGCAGAGGGCAGTTAAGTGTGATCTCATTACAGCAGGAATTAAAAGACAGTTTGGGCCGCAGAGGTGTGAGAGTTTTTCAAAGTAAAAGGATTTGAAGGCAGGGAACCAAATGGGATGACCGTGGCACCTTACACAAACGCCTTTGAGCAAGATGTTTGAATACGTGATGTGGTGATTTTTTGTTTTTTTCACCATCAATATATGCCTACATGACAAGTTTCTCTCTCTCTCATATTAAAAATAGTCCCCAGAGAGGTTTGAGGGTGTTTCTGGCAGTGGAGTCAGTCTAATGAATCTGCAGGCTGATGTGAAAGAGAAGCAGATTTTGACCAAAGATAGTGAACAGTCTGGTTCAGCAGGACCCTGGGGCCTCTGTATCTCCCTGCTGTCAAAGGCTACAGTGCATGAAATTTTGAATGGTCACTGTGAGGCAAAGTTACAGTCCCAATCTCGCGGTAATCCTCCGCAGGTCGTCTTAATTAAACGTCCGTGCAGTGGCCTGCTGCTAGACCGGTTTCTCCTTACATGGACCCGGGCATGAACTTTCCCCACCGCCTTAGGCTGTTTACTCAACTCAGGACGGACTTTTTACCCAATACCGCGGCCTGCCCACCCAGTCCTCCTTAAATCTTCATTATTTAAGGTATCCACGAGTGGAGCCACAGCGACACACATGAACGGATGTGAAGGTAACGATCGAAACAACAACAGAGGGGCAAATGAGATTTGTTTTTTTACGTCTTTAATTACATGATTGTTTTATTTTGAATGTTTTGTTTGAGGTGATTTAGACAGGTGATGATATTTCTTAGGTTGAAATGTAATGTGAAAAGTTTTTGGCTTTTTTACAATCACAGTATTTCCATAATGTTTATAATTTCTTTTTTCTCTAAAAGGCCTTAAACAAGGATCACATTAAAATGACTCAAAGCTAGTATTCAGTGAAAGCTAAAAAAATCAGAATCAAATGAAGCTATGCATTCTTATAGCAGGCTGGCTTAAAAAGTAAGAAAAACTACCTTAAAAGTTAAGAAAATAAACATATTTTTTCACTCCTCTTGGTGTGTTGGGTGATTGGATACATGGATAATCCCGTAGCCTAATCATTGCTGTGATTTTGGCTCCCTCTAGTGTTCAAGTAGGGAAATTTTCACCAATATACCAATTCTAAATCACTTTTTATTCATCAGTCACATACTAAATTTAACTGGGCCAGGCTGTCTGGTTCTATTGGTCATAATAATTAATGACATAATCTCCAAACACATTTCTGCCAACCTGTCACCACCAAGTTTATAGTTATTTATCAGCTTATCAGGTCCACACAGTCATTTATTTATTCTTTTTTAATTTACTTTTGCATGAAATGTAGATCGGTGATATCACACACACTATAGGTATTCTACAGATATGCATAAATTGATCTATGTAGTACTACAAGAAACTCCAGCAGGCAAGATAGGTGGCAGGACATTAATAGGACACTACTGCCACCCAATGGCCTGTTTTAGTACTACACCCTGAAGTCAAGACTACAGTCCTGCGTGTCAAATCTGGCAGGAAATTAAGAGAAAAAGGCGCCAGTTACAATAGGACAACCGTGACTTGATGAAATATGTGAACAATGTTAGCAGAAAAATTAAATGCATCACAAGAGCACTAAGTACTCACAATGCTGCATTTTAACTGAAAATTTGATCTTTATGTGTTTGGCCTTACAACACAAGTTAAATCAAAGGTGGAATATACATGGTTAAAGCTTCAGTAAGGAACTTTCTTCCTGTGTTGACTCTGCCGTCCCCTGTGGACAAAGTGGTAACTCATATTCTTGTTATTTTTACCTGAATATGTTGACTGACAAACAATCCTCTGCTTTTTGTCTTTCTTTACAGTGAAAATTTACGATTCGCCATGAATATTTTGATCTGGGTACAGTAAATAAAGCTGTTTTCACCCCCTCACAACAGTTACAGACATTAGATATAACCATATAGACATTTTGACCCTCATCACCAATGGTCTCATTTTCTTAAGCAAAGATTAATCACAGTTGATTTCAGCCAGTATCATAACCCATCAAAAACTCCTTAAGGGAGCTTAAAAAACATTTCAAGGCCAAGATGAAGGTAATCACTTTCCCTTCCCTCCTAATTACAGTACATTTAAAAGAAGAAACAGATAATGTCAGTGGCAGAGAAAGTAAGCCTTTTTTTTCCCCAAAGGTTTGTTAGATTATTAAAAGTACCAAAAGTGTAACTTCCAAAAATATCTGATGTAAAAGTGTGAGGTTTGTGTTAGCCTAAATGCCGTTAGTGAAGTGACACTAGTCAGCACCAGAATTACCTCTTGGTTAAATGAGTTATTAATATTTTCATTATTGCTGGTCTGACTTGCTGCTCATATGTTGTATCTCAACTGTAACAACAACCAGCCACTAGCTGGGGCTGTAGCTCCTGTTAAATGACAACTGCCATGATACTATTATATGATATCACTGGAATGTAAACAAGCACAGACAGCAGGTGTCATCTTAAAATCCTGCAGGAAAAAAAAGATGTGCAGGTTGTGTCTGTTTAACTCAGTTGAAGAAAAGCATCACCGGCACAGGCATGCGGAGGTCACCTGTAAGGAGCACTGACAGCTGGTGGTGGTGGGAGCTCTGCTATCATCAACTCATGTCCATACTCACAATCAATATGATATAATGTACCTGCAGACTCCGCAATTCCATGTGTAGCCTCATTGCATAAACCGTGCTGGATCCTGACTGTTTTCTGAGGTTTTTTATTCTTATCTTAAGACAAGTTGGAATTTGGGGGCAAGTTGAAAAGGCACCAATATGAATGTCTATTTCATAAATGTAAAAAACACCTCTCATAATTCACTAAAACTAGTATTATGTCAAACAGAACATTGCTCATCCAGCTTTATCTGAGAGTCATCATCCTCATCTCCCTCTTCTAAATCATGTCTGGAACTTAAAGGAGGATTGGATTGATATGAGCACTTGACCACTTCTTTGCTAACACTTATGTTATACTGATCTCAGTTGGTTTAATTGTGCCTTCATCAGCTGATGCCTTATCCATCATTTGGATATTTACTTTCACGTCACTAAAACTTTACGAGTAATCTTTTATCAATAACCAAGACAACTCAACTTTTTTCCTACAATGATTTAATTTTATTCATAGTGTGATTAACATCATCTTTACTGGCAGCTATGAGGGAATTATGAACTCTCGACATTCTTGTTTGTTTATTGGTTAACCTCTACAGCAAATAAAAACACACATTTCTGTTAAAAAAAGGATAAATCTGTAGGTTTATCTGAGCTGTGTTAGCTTTTAGAGAGGGTTATAATACAAGTGTTTCAGCTAATATGAATCATAAAGTTAAAGTAGGCTGTGAATGTCCACATCATGTCAAATTACTCTGGTGATCACATAATTTAAGTCCAGGTTATTGTGAATTGTTGCCATTTCTACACTTATTGGAGTGTAATTTTATAGTTATCTATTCTAATCCACTTGATGTTGAAAATTATCTGTGAGAAGTAAAACAATGCCAAAATAAGCTTACCTATGATACCAAAGTGACCTTTGGAGAGTTCACAGGAATACAAATTTAAAACCCACCTCCTTATTTTATCCAAATTAAAACCAGATTCATGGCAAAATGATCATTTCTAGCTGCTGACTGAGGTCTTAAATAGAAACCGACATCTGACATCATTAGCTCCAACCGCTACTATAATATAAGATGTGTCGTCTTTACCCCTTTATTGCTTTCTCTATCCTAAGTATCATGAATCTGGAGCAGCTGTACATTCAGAAAGTTGACTGAAAATTCCTTATGATAAGTGCTATGACTGAAAACAGATTAACTTCGGTAGTATCAATGTGTTATCCAAAGTTTGTTCATTTTGCCTCGCTAACTTACACCTACTGTTTATGTATGACATGGATTACATGTTTACATGTGTGAATACAATGCTGATTAACAAGTTCAATATCCACTATTGTAGTTACCTCTCAATAAATATGCGACTCAACAACACAGCACACAAATCTTAAGATTCAATATGAGGCACATGAATCCCCAGTTTTTGATAATAATAATAAATGCATCAGATTTCATGTAGCGCTTTATCAGAGACCCTCAAAGCACTTTACATTGGATACATCATTCATTCGCTCACACAGTCACACCTTGGTGGTGGTAAACTACCTTAGTAGTCACAGCTGCCCTGGGGTAGACTGACGGAAACGTGGCTGCCAGTTTGTGCCTACGGCCTCTCCGACCACCACACAACATTCACAATCATACACCAGTGGAGGACACACACTGGGAGCAAGGTGGGTTAACTGTCTTGCCCAAGGACACAACGGACAGACTCTGGATAGGGGGGAAACGAACTACCAACCTTCAAGTTATTGGACAACCGCTCTACCTCCTGAGCTACTGCAGCCCAGTTGTTCAAATTCAGTCAACGTCTGTGTCTGATGTAAAACACCAGATTACACCATGATCCAATTGAAGAAGGCAGATTATGTTGAGCAAACTGTTTGCATATGAGTAGGTCCAAAATAAACAAACATTTGGTGATTAAGGCTCAAAGAGCAGCAGTTTATTTAGGTGGGATACTTAATGTAATTGTAAAAAAAACAACAGATGAGTCTGACGGACCGATAAAGAAACACATTTATTGCTTGAGCTTTCCTTTCAGAGTCAGTTAAGACTGATTAGAGACAATTACGTTTGAACTTGAATGCATCCAATGAAGAAAGGTAACTTCCTGTCAAAATAACATTTTAATGTCTTGAGCAAGATCCCTCTCTATACTAAGAGTTTCTGCTTTAAACCAATCAATCAAAGTTTATTTATATAGCACTGTTCATACAAATGAAATTGCAGCTCAAAGTGCTTTACATCAGGACAAGAAAAATAAAAGTTAAAAAATAGACTGAAACAGATAATAAAATATAAACTTGAAACCAACTTAAGTTTTGGAGCGTAGCAGTTAAAAGAAGCATCACCAAATCTTTTTGCTCTGCTCTGTGGAACGACTAAAAGAGAAGATTGAGAGGATTTGAGAGGCCGCCCTGGTTCATAAATTAAAATCATCTTTGTAAGGTATTCTGGTGCCGGGCCATGTAGAGCTTTATAAACTAGTAAAAGAGTTTTAAAATCAATGCGAAAACTAACAGGCAGGCAGTGCAAAGACTTTAAAATGGGTGTAATATGAGCTCTTCTTCCCCTGGTCTTAGTCAAAACTCTAGGAGCAGCAGAGTTTTGGGTCAGTTGTAGCTGGTTTACTGTGCTTTTGGTAGAGGAGAGCATTATAGTAGTAAACCTTGCTGGTTATAAAAAAGGTGCATTAGTCTCTCTGTCTGGCTCAGAGAGAGAAACGCTCGTACTTTTGCAATGTTTTTAAGATGGTAAAAGGCCGTTTTAGTGACACCTCTAGCATGAGTTGACCACGAGGTGGCAGTGCAGTCACGTGAAAACCATCAGAGCTCAACAAGATCTTGTTATGTACCAAATGCAGCTTAACAAGCAAATCACCAAATCAATATAAACAGGGTTTTGAACAACATAGAATCATACAGTCCAGTTCACTTGTCCCCGCCTAAAAGCATGCAACACTAAACGATCAAGATTCTGTCCTTATTCTCGGTGCAATAATACCGTCTCTGAAGGTGCCTCTATGTGTCCAAAAGAAGGGATTTTTTTTTTATTTTGCTTATTTGTTTTTTAACCCAAATCAAATTTTACATAAAACGTTGTTTATGTAAATCAAGACGGATCGTGTAAACATAACGTTATGGAAATAACGGGAATTAAAACTTGGACAATAAAAAACGTAACCACAGTCGTAATTTTCTCCGTTATAGCACCGTTTTTGTATAATAGTAATAACAATAATAATGATAATAATAATAAAAAAGAGAGAAGCATAGCTGCCGATAAAGAAAAACATTTATTGCTTGAGCTTTTCCTTTCAAAATAAAACTCACAATTAGCGTTCTGCAACAATTTCAACAACTTTAAGAAAACAAATGCAAGTGCATGAATACAGATGAGTTCACGTGAATGGCTGGTATTTTTTATTCCATTAAAAGGTTTATATTGCTAATACCACTGTGTGTGTGTGGAGACATCCGTGTACTCAGAGCGTGAAACGACAAGAAAATTGTCTTAACCAAAAAGGTTTCAGCTCAATGTGGAGGATTTTTACTGCATAGATACAGTTTTGAAGGAAAATTACAAAGAAAAAAATCAAAAATCAGCTGGAATTAAATCTCCACCTGTGGTTTGAATGTGGCTGAAAAGTTTTACGCATCAGTTCTGGCGGTTTGGTTTGGTTCGGTCACATGACGCACGGCTTGACGTCCTGGTAGACGCTCTGATGGTGGTGATGGAGCTGGTGATAGTAAGGTCCTCCGCTGCTGGAGTGATGCAGAGAAGAGATTCCGTTTAGGTTCAACACGAAGTCCTTCCTGTCACACACAGGAGCGGAGTGACCGGAATACCGAGACAGACCCACTGCAAAGAAACGGGACACGGCAGGTCAAAACCACACGCAAGTGATCCGGTTATAGATATGCATTAGTTCGTGTTTATTAGGCTTCTTTTATTAGGTTAAAGACATGTTTGTATCCAGTTTCATCCCCGTGTGAACAATAATTTAAACGTGTTATTTACGCTTTATATTGTATATATTATCTGTAAATTTGAAAGTTTTGTAGGTAGTTAACTGATATTCAGTCAGGTTTTAATCATTAGTTCTATCATTATCATTTTATTAATCAGGAATTTCTGGGATCTCATTTAGGTTGCCAGAATGGAGAAATGCGTAAATTGTGATTCGTCCTCTTTTATAAAACAAGAATTGTTGGTTAAGTTTTTTTTTAGTTTAATGAATTTAACTTCAATTTGAGCACAATTTCTGGTACCATAACTTAAAAATATTTAATTGTCTTTCTTCTCTTAAAAAATGGTTAAAATATCTTGAGTTAACACTTGATTGTTGGATATGTTGTTTTGTGTGGTGAACATTTTCAGGACTAGATGTTCCAATCTTATTTTTGTTTATTTATTTTTAAAGAATTCCACTTAATAAAAGCTTAATTTGAGTTTTGTTCCTTTTAGTAGATTTACAAAAACCGATATTTGTTAACATTTAGAAACACCAGCTTGACTCGTGTTTATCCTAATACTTCACCAGAAATTGTAATTAAAGGAATATGCAGGAATAAAAACAACTACCTTTGCTGTCTAATAAGGATTACTGCACCAGTTACAAAAGGCCTCCAAAATGCACTGAAGAAATATTTCTCTGTAATGCAATTTATGTTTGTTCTTGAGCATTTTTGCCCCTCTACATGACAGTCCACACCAAATAGAGGTTTCAAGAGAAAGTTTGGTAAAATGGTTTAAATACATTTATCATTAGAAACTCGACAATCTGTATAACATATACACTTAAGACAAAATTTTGTAATAAATAATAAATAGTTACATAAAAAACAGTGAAGCTGATCCCCTAATAATAAATACTCTAATTTGAGCTCGTTACAAGTTTGTTAATGCCCAATTCTTTCTCATTAAATCATTCACCGCTCAGCAAACACAACCTGGTCAAACAATTTAATGCCCAAAATATTTAAGAATGATAAAAAAAAAGTTCACAGTCACAGTAATTAATGGCATCACGCCCGAAAATCGGAGAAAAAGTGATTTTACGCAAAGAAACAGACACGTGTTTAAGTTTTAACTCATCTCACCAATGATGAAATTTAATGTTATGACTAATGCAAACAGGAATCACATTAAGAACTTGATAAAAATGAGTGACTGTACCTGAAATTTCGGAGGAGTCTCGTGCGTTGTGGTGCAGGTAGCCCTGCTCCAGAGAGTATGAGGACACCCCCGCGTGCAGAGAAGAAGAGGTGTTCGTGCTGGGTGTCAGAGTCTGCTGTTTGATGTATGAGGACACACCAGGTGAGCTCCAGTGTGAGGCTGCATTTGCATACGCAGACTGACAGTCCAATGTGCCCACCATGGCCGGGGGGGTCTGCAGGGGGCTGCTGCTGCTGTCCGGGCAGTAGTCCGTATTAGAGCCCCCCTGACACGCGGACATGTAAGACGACCCGGAGCCTGATGACATGTGTGGGACATGATGTCCTCCACCGAGTCCCTCAAACCCCCCGGACACCGCGTTACCCATCAGGTCTAAGTTATAGCTGTTGTGACACGTTAAAGAACCAGGAGGAGACTGGAAGTCAAAGTTCTGAGGGAGCATGGACGCGCCAAACCCGATCCCGTTCATCATCCTGTACATGGGTTTCAGAGCCTGACATTTCCTCCTGAACCCACGAGGTCTGCGGCGAAAAGAGCCCTCCTCGAACATAAACTCACTACCTGGATCTATAGTCCAGAAGTGCCCCTTCCCGGGTCTACCGAGACCTTTAGGCAGCTTTATGAAACACTCGTTCAGGGAGAGGTTGTGCCTGACGGAGTTTTTCCAGCCCTGATATGAACCCCTGAAGAAAGGGAAACGGGCCTGCAGGAACTGATAGATCTCACTCAGAGTTAGCCTTTTGCTCGGTGAACTTTGGATAGCCATCACAATGAGGGCGATGTATGAGTAAGGAGGTTTTTCAGGGCGCCTCATGCCGGAGTTCCCCTTTTTCCATTTGGTGGATGCAGCCTGTGCGCTCTCCATCACCGACTGCGCGCTCAGAGGATTTGATGGAACCAATTGTTGCTTGGAGCTCTCCGTCGTCATGGTTGCGCTTGTATTTAAACTCCTAAACTTTCTAAGCTAACTTTGCCTCGAATCCATATATTTAGATGATTCCTCAGGCCAATCATTAAAAGGCTAGAGCCCCTCTGCGATGCTCTGCCCGTGTATAACCGTGAAAATCACGAAACACCAGCCGCTGTCCCTCCTTCCTTCCTCTGTCCATCGCTGGCAGTAACTCCATAACAGAGGGGAAACCAAGCTCCTTGACTTTCCTCGCGCATATCCACCGCCCGGCCAAACACAACCCGACCACCTATCAATTGTTAAATCTCTCTCTGCCCCTCTATCCCCCCCGATCCCTCCAAATCCCTCCAAGAAATCGCCAGGAACTACTCCCTCCCCATCTGGACACGAGCCAGACTAGAAGCCGGACACGGCGCAGCGAAGGAAGACAAATCTCCTCCCACGGCTCACTTTCCAAAACACCTCCAAATGCATGTGTCACACAGTTGTCTGATGGGGACAACTTTCTAAAACTTCACGAAAAATGAGACACAATTTGAAGAAATTGAAATATGATTGCCCCCCTGGTTTGTAGCAGTGATTCCATAAAGATGTACAGACAGGAACCCTGTAATGATCATTTGTTGAGATCTGTTCAGGATTAGGACTCTGACATGAGAGGAGGCATGCTTTTTCCATCAGAGCGTGCCAACGTGCCACACACAGCGCACAAGTATCAGTTTACCTCTGGGAGTCTGGATTTCATCCCCAGAGAAGAAAAAGACTTGATTAGAAACTCTAAATAAAGTCAAAGAAGGATTCATATGGTTAAATATTTAAACGTTTTTGAAAGCTTCCGGCTGTATAAAAAAAAAAAATCTTTTGTACTTTACGCACAGAGTTTTACGCACGCCTGTTTGGAAAGCAACTCACCAGCCACATGAAGTGAAATTATTTCCCATGCACCAACAGAGTTAAAACATATTCTCCCCTGACTATCAGCTACATCAAACCTGTAGCCCCACTGCGCGCAGGATGCACAGCTGGTTTGAAGGAAATTTACTTTCTTGCCTTAGAAGAATGGGCCTAACTTGGAAGACATTTCTTTCCATTGTGGATTCGGGTTGAGTTCGCTCAGGATGCACCGTTTGTGCAAACCCTTTCCTGCGCATGTGTAGTGACTGAGGCGACAGCTATATTTGTAGTGCAGACAGAAAACATAAATATTGGATGCCCCTTTCCGGCAGCAACAAAAATCATCAACACTAAGAAACAAATACTGGGAGGGGGTGTAAATTTCTACGAGTACTGGATGATGGAGGGTTTCTTCTTCTTCTTCAATGATTCTTTAGTTATTATAATAATATTTGTATTATTATTATAATTAATTAGAAAAATAAAATGTTCTTCTGATGACCATTTTAAATATCTAGAACAAAATTATTCTGTACAAAGTGTTTTATCCAAGATTTTAGTACCTTCGTATTGCAGAAAAAAAGACGTTGTGGATATCTGAAAAAATCAGAGTAAAGGACATAGAATTTTAGCGATGCTATAAATATTTAGTCAGTTTTAGTTGGTAAAACGACATAGGCTCACCAAATGGAAGTGTTCCTTTAGATATCCACGGTTTAAATTTTACTTTTCAGGACTGTCACTTTGGAAAAACGTCAATGAACGTCAAATACCTTCACTTTTGGCTTTCGTTTGACTTGGACCCACAGTTTTTGATATTCACAACACTATTTTGCAATCTTGGACATCTGTAATCAGGCACGTGCACATATCAGCAGGGACCTTCAGCACCTATACCCCCTTCTTCCCTCTGAAGCTCGAGTACCCTCTAGTTTTCATTGTACAATTTCATGTTTACGCACAGCCCGACCTGCCAAACAGACGTATGTATAGAAACAACAGGGTTTTTCCTGCGTTCAAAATTGCGTGGCGGCCGCCTCCACCTAATTTTGTGCCGCCCCCAGCCAGAGCGATTGATTTCGCTCAACACAGCGTAAAGCTCCAGCTGTGTTGATTGAGCGATTGATGTCCCTCTGCAGCAGCAACGTATTTTAACTGCAGTTGCAGCGTTGCGCCACTATAGAGGCGCTATATCAACAGCAGTGCACCGGAAAGACCTGAAGCATCTACCGAAGAAGAAACGGATCGAATCATGTTTTTTCAAGTTTTTTTCCCGCTAGTTGGTGCTATCGGCGACCTGATTTTCCCCGGCGGCTGGTACAAACAGGTAAATACTGCTTGTCTTTTTTGCATCCAAGCATGACGTGTTTATTAAAAAAAAAAGTTTCCTCCGTTTTTTTAGCGTTGCAGATATGACAGGCAAAATCAGCCAGTACTTTAAAAAGCGACCTCGCGAGGAGGAAAGTCAAGAGTCCAGGTGAAACACAGCAGAGAAAAAACGTAACAGGCAGTTAAAATGCTATAATTCATGTTGGTGACAACGTGGACATTTGTGTCAGGTCTGAAAGTACTTCACAAGGGACTGGTGATCGCGAGGGTCAGAATGCAGGACAGGATGAGTCGGCGAGGCGAGGGTAATTAATTAATTAGTTTCCAATTAGGAGCATAACAACGCAAAACCAACGTGTACGTGGTTTTTATTCCTCTGTCTAGATCTTCTCAAAAACACAGAGCCAGTGGCTTTGACAAGCAGTGGCTCAATCAATTTACCTGGCTCAGGCATACTGAGGAAGGCATGCACTGCTGTTTATGCCAAAAGCACTGTGCCCCAACACAGCAGGCAATTGCTGCCTCCTTAGTGAGACAGCCATCAACCAACTACAGGCTGGACACATTAAAAAGACATGAGGTGACAGCCATTCACAAAGCAGCAGAAGAGAAGGAGAAATATATTAAAGATGGTAGTACCTAAAAACACTCAACTAATAAAGTTACAAAAACTAAAATAACATAGTTTAGATAGTTTAAGCAATAATTGGTTGTCGTTTTTTTAGGGAGGACACTGCAACGTATACATATATATAATATATGATTAAAACACTATCACTCTTCATGTCTGTATCAGAATAAAAACAAAAATACTTAATGCATGATGAATTGTTTTGTTTAAGGTGAAGACACCTCTGCGGAACAGACTGAAGGAGAGGCACTTGGATGTCTGTTGTAAGGTGGCCGTTGATGGACCAGACCAGGAGGCCTTGGACTACAAGGAGTGCATGAGGAGGTTCTACAGAATGAAAGAGAGGAGGCTGAAATGTTCTGTCTGGTTGTGAGATGTGTGGATGAAGTGTACTTTCAATTTAAAGTTGCCAGCTGATTTGTGTATGTATATAGTTTTAATAAATGAATGCAATAACATGATAATGGTCACACTCTTTTTTTGAACTCTTAACTTAAAGTATGTTGCCTGTAAAAGAAAGTGAGTCAGTTGAATTTACAAATACATGCACGTCATGGCGCATGGTCAGGATGGTGCCACCTCTGCCTCAATTTCAGCCAGGAAAAACCCTGAACAATAATATCAGCTCGGTGATATGTGAGCAAGGCTGGTGCGATGCTCTCTCCTCCATTCTCGTTCAATCTACTGCTGCGAGCGCGTGCCTGCGCACACGTGAAGACAGTCATTCTGTCAGCGTGACGACATTTAGGTACTCTGAGGAGGACATCAGGTATGAAGCAAAAGTAAGGTTATGACTGTTGTAAATGTTTACTGGGCTGAAAGTCATCGTCAAGAAGAAGGAAGAACTCCACACTTTTCGGCAGCAAGACTCTTTTCTTTTTCAAATCTATTTTGTAGCTTAAAATGTTCCCACCAAAACTAAACACTGATACACGCAGTCAGAAAGCTAATGTACCGTTAGGAATCGGCGAAATATGGATGATGGAGATTTGTATCCCAGTCACTGAGCTTACAGAGTATAGTCCCATAACATTATAACAACTCCAATGATGTTTCAGTAGCTATAATTATCTAATAAAATAGTGGAAATGACCTAAATAAAGTAACACAGCAGCAACATGAAATGTCATCTCTCTTTCTACACTGACAAAACTAACGTTCACTTTAATTTAGTGGCATTTACTGACATTAATACTTGATGGTCGCAAACCAGAGTTGAAATAAAAACCATAAAGAGTGTGGAGAGCTGTAAAACTGCTGACACATTTTAAATTAATATCATTGTTATGTATAAACGACTATTTACTGTACAAATGTTGAAGCAGCAGGTATTTAACCAGGTGTTTGTCATGTTAAAGTAAGTTTTGCTGGATTTAATCAACATTTACAAAAGAATCATTATCATGTATAAATCAACGATGATTCTCAATTTTAATAATGATTAAAACTGTGGTCAAAATGTGTAATGCACTTTGAGCCCTGGTGTTAGTTTTATTTGTTAAATTATGTTGCCATGCAGTTGTAGTTTGCATTATATCAGCATCTTTTTATGACCTTTTACTTTTGAAGTAAATAAACCCTCCGCTGACAGGTGGAGGTGAGGTGAGATAGGCAGTCTGCCTGAGGAAGTGCACTGACCCTGTTGTCTCAATGAGGAGGACGAATTCTTCATTCTATTAACTAACAGTCACTAACTGTTGTGTAAATCTAAAGTAAAATCATAATGTGCTGTTGATAACCAATATTACATAAATGAAATTGCTTTTCACTTGGATATCTAAAATTAGAGTAATGCTAAGACAGTTTGATAAATCTGAAACTGGACTTTTCCTCAAAAGATAACCATGAAAGTGTTTTTATGCAGAAGTTGTTGTTGATATCTGACTGAGAGCTTCATGAATGGTAAAAGTGACATTATTTGTGCTATAAGTATGTCATTATTGATATCTGACATGCTCATTTACACCAAAGAAATGTTATATCCAGTCCAGCTATGAAATGTTCAGTGTGCCACATGCCCCGTTTATCATTATGGCACCTTACAGGACTCGGACGTCTCCAAAGGTTGTCAGACCTAACCAGGCTCCACGTTTATAAAAATGATTTAAGGACAAAAGAACAGGCAAACAATTTCAATATCTTTTTTATTTCAATGTAAAAAGGTTTTTTTTAAAGTCAGACAAAAAAAGTAAATGTACATTTTTTAACCATGTCAGTTAGAAACAACAGCGTTCAAAGTCGGTGCTCAGATGAGAAATGGCCAGAGGTCCTTTTTTTATTTATAAAGTGTAACACCTTGTCAATATAATAATGTCCCCCCTCCTCTGTCCACCATCAGTGCACATTTTGAATCCCCTCAGATTGATTTCTAATACCGCACCAGTGTCTGTGTGAGCAGCGCAGCGTCGTGCGCAGGATAGGAGTTCATGGGAAAGGGTGACTTGACGTATGAAAATGAGGCAGCAGGTGTATTAGGATAAGGCGCCATTAGTTCCGTGTAGCTCGGCCAAGAGTAGGCAGTGTGCGGCCCCACATAGTCTCTGTTTGAGTCCCTCTTAAAGGGTCTGTTGAGGATGCTGTCTATGGCAAAGGAGCTCGTAAACTTGACACACGAGTCAGTCTTTGTTGCGGGTTCAGGCTGCTGGACGCTCTGCGGCTCCTCTGCTCTCTGCTCCTTTTTGTCTATGCGCTTTCTCCTGCGCCGGAACACCCCATCAGCAAAGGTGTACTCGCTCTGAGGATTGAGCATCCAGTAATTATCCTTTCCCCACGGTCTGGACGGGTCCCGGAGTACTTTGAGGAAACAGTCATTGAGAGACAAGTTGTGCCGCACGGAGTTCCTCCAGCCGGTGTAGCTGCCTCGGAAGAACGGGAACTTTTTCATCAGGTAGTCGTTTATCTCCGCCAGAGTGAGACGTCCAGATGGGGAGTCCCGGATAGCCATGGCGATGAGAGCGATGTAGGAGAAAGGGGGTTTGGGTCTCCGTGTGTATGGCTTGGACTTGGGGACGGCGCACGGAGTCACAGGTGGAGGAGGGCTGTGCACCACGCAGTCCCCGTCCGACCCCAGCTCCTCTTCAGCAGACAGAGGAGAGCGCAAACTCCCCTCTGTGTCACAGAACATCCCCAGATGTTTGGTGTCATAGTGGCCGCCGCATAAAACCTCTAACTTCATGCTTTTCGATGAGTTTTCCTCTTTGATTGTACTAAAATGTGCGTAAAGTCCGGATCTGCTGCGCGTCAAGACGTCTTGAACCAAACGAAGTCCCTTCGCTCCATCATACCTGCCTGTGTCCTGCAGCCCGTCTCACCTATGCATGTGTGTGAGCTGCAGTTTATAGACGACTCACCTCAGGACCAACCCAAGGGGGCGGAGTTACAGGACTTTAAAGTGTTTGGAGAATCATCCTCACATTGCGTGCGTAAAAGCCATTATGTTAAATAAACCTACGATCATAAAACATTCATCATGACCCAGTAAAATGATATTAAGCAAATTGAGGGATGGCGTGAACTCAAAACACCATAAGGGGAATTTTATTGTTCGTCTCACCTCTGAAAAGTGATCTAGCGCAAACCTCAGGACTGTTTCACCTGAGACAAGCAGGTGGCGTGTGTATCCTTCTTTTTTCAAGGTGTGGTGTTTCATAGACGATAGTATGATTTGTCACAGCATGAACTTTCCCTTCCAATGAGAAATATCTTCAATTTTTAAATAACACCCTATTTTGCCAAGATGAGGTGTAATATTTGAACAGGTAAAGGAAAAATGCTCCCGGTGCCAACATTACTACCCACATAGAAACCTTTGTTATTGAGTTTCTCTCTTTAAACAAAAAGTGGTTCTTGTGCATCCTGTTGCCCAGGGCCAAAAGAGTGGATTCACCCAAAAGTAATGATTGACTGTGGAAAATTTCCTGTCCTACTGCTTTCAAAACTTCTGGAGAGCAGAATTTGTGATACTCAGTTAGGACACACTGCAGCTATGGGAAAAATGCTGGCTGGTAAGAGACAGAATGAAGCCACTGACGTCTGAAAAATACCTTTTAATGTCAAATGTTTCATGATCATTGAGTGCGGCTTCACATTCTCCTCCTACGCAGGTTCACCTGGCAGTCAAGCTGAACTCGACAAACTCATCTTTGTATAATCGGCGCTCTGACTTCCTGTTATCAAACCAAATCACTGCTTTCACCGGTTCATGCCGCGACAGTGCTATTGTCACCGCACAGACAGATGGCAAAATAACATCCACATGCACCACCTGAAATCTGACGATGATATCACGCCGGGATATGTTGTTAGACCAGTGGTTTAACTCGTGTTTATGCAGACTGTCCTTCTCAGGCCTTTTCTGCGCGTAGGTTACGCATGTTTGTGCTGCTGCTGTGTGAATGTTTTGATCTGCGGGTAATGATCTGTTTGTGTTGTCTCTTGACACCCAATCCAGGGTGAAGTCACTATTTTGAAAGGTGGCATATCAGAGGTGGATTCCTGTAAGCTAACCGCACAATGACAGGAGCTCAAGTAGCATGTGTTCATTCTGGTCAGTGCATGTAGCAGCTTGTGAAACCATCATAGTGTGTTTGAGTCTATGTGTGTGTGCTGCAGTGCTCATTAGGACGACTTACAAAATATTAGCTGTGTGTCCAAGTTATGGGGAAAAATATGACAAACTACTGGCTCTGTTGTTGGCAGAAATCATTGACAAATATTATTCAATCAACAGTTGAAGTCTCTAAAAGATTTTGATAACTCATAAAACATTTGTAAACACTCGACATTCGCTCTCTAAATACAGCCGTGAAAGCTTAAAGGCTTGGCAAGCACACTCAACCTGCACAATATGTTTAATAAAGGTTAGCTTCGACTTAGATAGGTGTCTATAAGGTGAGCTTTACCTCATACAGTGACACACGGCCATAAATCACTTTAACTACTGTTGTCTCACTCTTTCTCTGACTCTCTGTCAACATTAGTGTCATGAGATTTATGAGCGCATTCGATTACACTGTGTTGTGGTGGCTCCCTGCAGACTATAGATCAGATAAGATCAGTTTTCATAAGATACATTTTTTCTAAAAGCACACACCTGAGAGCCATGAAAATGGAAAAGAGTCAGAAAAATATGCCAGGAATTCTCTCACAAGAATAAATCTTTGTGCGAGTTTCTGACGTGCTAAAAAGTTGAAATTTCATATGCAAATATCCATTTAGGTACAAGCCCTGTTACTGTGAATACTTAGAGGTGACACTTGTTGATATGTTAGAATAAGAAAGAAAGGCATGCGGCTAAACCAGAACAACAAACAGCCAGATTATTGGCAATTAAATAAACAGCATACACAGGTTTATGAGTGACTGTATAAGACCTCACCTTAAAAGGGATATTCCGGTGTAAATTTAAGTTAGGGTCAAACACACCGTAACACCGAGTTAGACACCCCCTCGAGAGATTAATGTTGCTGACCGTTTGCTTCTCTAGTTATACCAACTTTAGTACCACATGATAGAAATACACAGCAGTCTAAGGAGCCGAGCACAAACCTCAACCAAAAAGCCACTCTATAGCCACAAATAATGCTCAGAACAGCACCTAACTTCATCAACAGTACATATAGGGTCCACAGCCATAGCAGTAGCCACCAAACATCTTTTTAACTTAGCCTGATTTCTTTAGCAAAGAGACTAAACACAACTCACCTACTCTCTTCCAGCAGCCGCTTGTTTGTAGGGAGACCTCGAACGAGTCCATCACCGACTGCAGCGGGGTGACGCAGCTCAAGGAAGAACATTTAAAGTTGGTATAACTAAAGAAGCAAGCGGTCGGCAACATTCATCTCTCAAGGGGGTGTCTAACTCGGTGTAATGGTGTGTTTGATCCTAAATTAATTTTACGCCGGAATATCCCTTTAAGTTTAGTGTTGATACAACCAAGTATTTTGGAGCTTTTAAAAAACAGTCGATCCATCACCAAAACATTCCAATGCTTCCTGTCCTTATAGTTCGTTTACAAAAAAAGAATATCTAAAAAGTAATTTGTTTGAGGGCAGAAGGAGTCAGTATCTAATGTTTGAAAAAGAAAGATATGGACTAAAACAGAGCATTTAAATAACTGTATAACGTCTGTGTGTTAATGCTGCACTGTGCTCAGTTTGTCTTTGTGTTAATACTGGTGGTTTTAACATCCCAGCTTCAATTTTATTTGACTTATTCTGAAATTTTTATGCAGGTTATCAATTATTGTGAAATAAAAAATAAGTTTTGAATGGATCTGAGGACAAAAGAAATTAAGAAAATGACCTTTAATATATTTAGTTATGTTTGCTTTTCCTGTTTGTTAATCAAAACACATTTCACACATATAAATATTGAGTTATTCTGTTGAACATTTCCCCTAAAAGAGATCCGCACATACATACTTGTGTATATATTTCACCAGGGACACTCAATCATTCTTTCCACTTATGTATGCATGCTTTTTCCTTTTCCATTTTTCCACTAATATCTATATTTTTAGGTTATATTTCTTCATAGATCCGACTCTACAGTGCAGGGCAGATATGACACAACATTTTAAAATATCTGAAAAAACTATTTGAACCCTGCTGAGTATGTCAGTAATGTAAACTGCTGCAGCGAATTCCACAGGAGCTCTAAAAATAACCCTGTGAAGATGTCAACCTGACGAGGATTTAGTTTGCACAACTCCTGCTCATGGCGTCCCTCCCTCTCTCTCTCTTTTGTGTGAGCAAAAAGCGTTTGCGTGCAAGGCAGCAGATAATTTGAGATGTTCTGATGTTTTGCAGATCATGTTGCTGAGAGGGCAACAATCAGTGAGTAGCTGCAGGGGCTGAAGATGTTTCCAAAGGTTCAAAATAGCAACAGAAATTCATGTTAATCATGACTTGGTGCTATTTATGGCAGCTGCGTGTGTATTATAGTTGTACAATACATCCCACCGCAAAATATTTCAGCAGCCGCTAATTATAGTATTTTGACAGGTTTGTTGTGAAACTGTGTTACATGTTTCTCAGTGTTTAACTGGAGCATTATACTTCAGCACAAACATGCGTGCTCTTGTTCATCATCATGTATATTTGGCTCCACATGTTTCTTCATGTATATCTGGAGCCGCCCTCTCAGCTCTCAAACGTTCCATCTTTCCACGGCACCTAATGGTTTCTGTCCCAGTTCTTTGCGTGTGACTTTATGCAGACATTTCTCTGTAGTTTCCATACAAATCTTATCTTTGTGTTTCAAATTTGACAGGATATGATCAAAAAAAAAAAAAAGTCTCTTGTTAAAAGGCAGCACTGATCACACGAGTGAGAGCAGGCCTCTGCATGTTGCTGGTTTGGAAAGTTTCTGTTTGGGTCCTGTCACCTTAGAGATGAAGCATTTAAGCTGCCAAACAACAAGTAGAAGCTACTTTAGTGAAAAACAAGTGACACAGAGGTAACCCATAGTTGGAACCGGATAAAAATTTATCTGATTTATTCCAGGTTTATTCCTTTTGTGGTCCTGTTTCTAGTGTGTGGGTCTCATCTAAGGACTTTACACTAATGAGCCTGACAAAACTCTAAATATTTAGCCACTTTTTAACATTAACTTTAAGAAATGAACTTTTTGAGACCATTCTTGTTTTTGGTGAAATGAAGATGAGTTTACCACATTTGCAGAAAAGATGACAGGTTTGTAAAACTTTTGGATAAAATCATGTTTTCAAAGTCTTAAGATTAAATTGTTGCATTTCAGTGAAATGTCTGATCACGTGAGTAAAAGTAATGTTATCAGTGTTAAACAACATGAACATAAGAGTTACCTGTTGTCTAGTAGTTTGATGTTTTGACTTTTAAGTAATATAATCACACCCGCATATAAGGACAATCTTTTTGGGCTGACAATCTTTTGACAAAATAATCTGTAACGCCAGATTTCTTGGCTACTTCTTCTTCTTTGTATCATAACTGAACTGTTCCTCAAATATTAAATAACTTGGCGAGCTTTTTCTGTTATTGACGATCACTGTGTCTCTCCGTCTTGCATCCCTCTGGCACTGTGGTTGTGACTGATGGTTGGCCTCATCCATGAAGGATGAACTTGCTTTAGGTGTAATCCACTGTCCTAAACAAATACTGGCATTTAATTTTTAATCCTAAATATAAATTTGTC